TTTCTGTTTTTTGTTTTTTTTGTCTTCAAATTGACAAAATTTCTTTCATCTGTTGATCAAAATCAACGTGGGATTGTGATATGTAAGAAGCCTGGTTCAGTTCCAATTGGTTTCGGAAGAAGAAGCTGAACTTCGGGGCAAACACACTCCAACTCTTGTTACATATAGAGAAGAAAAATCAGATGGAGCTCATTCCTAACCAAAACAAGAGAAAAAAAAAGTGACAGAGTTGTTGCAAATGTACAATAATTGTCAACAGCAGGAAGTTCTTTGCAACAGTGAAGTAAAATGCAGAGAGGAGCAGAATGACAGTCATGTGGATTCACCAGACACATGGTGTTTGTGCTGTGAAATAATCAGAAGTTTTTTCCCCATCTCCCCATGCTGACATGAGATATGATCTGCAGGATGGAGAAAGAAAGTGAAGGGAATGCTAGAGAGCCAGAACTGAAATGTGCACATGTGCATGCACCCAAACAGCCCCAAGTTAGACGGTTTTGTGCATTTCTTCCGCCTGAAACAGGACTCCTTAAAAAGAAAAGCCTGAAAATCTAAATATAATCTTGGGTCTTGGGCTCCACAGCCACCCTATCAAATACACAGAGTAGTTAAATCAAATGACTGGAAAGTGCACTCTGAACTCAGCCTTGGGCTAAGGTCGCATTCAAGCGGAAATGTAAAAGTTCCTGGCCCCCGACAGGGCCCCCTGTTCAGAGCTGTCCCTATAAAGAGACTTATAGCTGGTTACAGGGCTTGGAAGGGAGCCCATAGAAGGTCCAACAAGCCTCGACTGGCATTATTTCCTGTCTGCCTCTTTGTTTGGCGAAGCCTTTTATTTTGGCATGGTTCCTATTGCAGCACTCGACATCCCATTCAGAAAACAACCCGCCCCTCCTCTACTCATCCCTTTAAGCCATGAGCATGCATTGCTCTTGTAATGTAGTTGTGAGCCACAGTCCTCAGGTTGCTGGCCTTCAAGTTTTCTGAAACAAATTTGTAAAGGCTGGAATGCCTTCTTTAGTTTATAACTTCTTATATGACAAACCAAATTTTAAAAAACTGCTACTTTAGCCACTTACTGCCTGGAGTTATTTACAGTGATTAAAAAAATATCCACAGTGTGAGTAGAATAAACACTACCAGACTTTAGTGAAATACTTACTCCATATTGGCTGTGTGACAGCTGCAAGTTAATTCCCAACAACAGGTTAATGGTTTATTCCTTAATTTACATGTATGTGTATGTTTCAGAATGCAGTTGATGCCCGGTATTCACAGGGGATTAGGAACCATAACCTTTCAAAAAGAGCTAAACTCCACAAATACTTGAACTTCTTTAGAAAACATTTATGACCTGCTTATTTAAATAGATCAAACACCAAATATACCTGAACTTAAACATGTCATGTAATAGGTCCATGGTAGTCATGGACCTATTACAAGAAAGTCAGGAATAAACCCAATCCTTTTTAAGTATACAAGTTATGCTCACTATTGCTTTTCACATATTTAAAATAAAAATCTTCATTGTCACAATAGAACGAGCAAAGTGTCAGAGATGAGAGATTTGACCAGAAATCATTTTATAGTAAAAACTCTGACCACAACTTTTAGAAAATAAATTGCTATTTTAGGCCATAACAGTCACAAAAAAACATTGCATCATCCTGAAGGGACTTATTTTTGCATATTAAAATAGCAGCTTAACATAAAATACTGGCATGGATTAACTAATCATTCTCTAGCTAACATAATCTGCATGCAGCAGCAATACTCAGTCATGTTGATGACCGTATACACACAGTATAAGCAGGTCCTACACTACATCTCAAAATGCTGTGCGAAAAAAGCGTGAATGTTGCATATTAGCATCACACATATAGTACCACATCTTACAGGTTCAGCTATGAAGAGACGTTGTGAAACAGGAGGTGCAACTAGAAATGGGCTATAGGGACTGGTAAAAATTTAGTTGAGTTTCAGCAATTGGTCAGAAAAGAAGGATGTACAGAAAATGTTAAGGTGACTGGTCAGATTTTCAGAAAAGTTGCAATGCCTGGTAAAAACTGCATGTCCGCGCAAAATTTGTGAATGGACTTACTAATATGCACAGTGGAAACCATCTTAACCCTGGAAGCCAACATCCACGGTCTTTCTTATCTCTGCTCTTGTCGGTACAGCCAATCAATGACAGCCAATCCAGGATTGGCTGCTTTTCAAATGCCAGCCAATAACGTGTCAAGCTAGCTCTGTCTCTTGTCCATTTCTGATCCACCCGATGACTGCAGAGTCATAAGAGTATTTCTGCAAATAAAATGGCCAGTAAGTTTATGGCTATGCTCATTCATCACCCACCCTTTTCCCTTCATCTTATATTGTTATTTACATTTCTAAGTGCCACTTTGTTGCCTGAACCAGATACCATCCGTTGTGTCTTTAATTCAATCAGGCAATGTGTGGAATATCCTATGCTCCTTGTTTAAGAGTGCAAATCTGCACCACCACTGCACGGGATCTGGACCCACCACACTGCCTAATATCTCTGGACCGGATACACACACACAAAAAAAATACTTTCAGGGTCAAATTTTAAAGGCATTAAGGGATATGTCAATCACATTTATAACCAAAAGTTTTTTTTTCACCGAATCCCCAGAAGTTGGTGTAAAAGAATAACATTTCCTGGTTATTCATTTCCATTTATAAATGAGCTGCACAAGCAAAGTTCTTTATTCTTTTATTGTAGGTGTAATTCATAAGTGTTCCAACAGTTAATAGTTTCCTTACCTCTCTCAAACAGCTTGAAGAGAATTGGAACTCCTAATTAAATTTGAGCCAAATTTATTGTTACCCGATAAAATAAAGTTACCCTCAATTACCAGATAAATTACCCTCAAAAAGGTTCTGTAAACAATTCTATTCAGTCTTTATTCTCCCCTCGTGTGCCTTTCTGAGCAGAAATGACTCTTAGAAGTTGGATTGAGTCATTTGGAGTAAATGAGCCACGGGGCTGAAACAGGTTGGCATGGTTCGACATGTCAGTCACAGTCCAGAAGCAGAGCACAGTAGCACCTTTCCATGTTGCCCGGCCGCTTGTCAGCAGCTACATTAAGCCATTACACAAGTGTGGAAACCGCCCCCGTGGCTGGCCCGCAGCAGCACACACATCCGCTCAGGGATACATACCATAATTATCCCCCCACTTCATAGTCATCTCCCCTGGCAACTGCAATCATACAGCAGAAATAGCTTGGGCTAATTCATTACTTCAGTGGAGGGAAGTTGGCTGCCTGTAATGACACCAATTGCCCTGACCTAAACAGCGGTAATAGGACCTCTCGGTACACTGGCGAGGAAATGGCTGCAATTGAGACTCTTCTACTTCCTAGCAACCAAAGCTAGGACCTGTAAGCCGGAGGGGGAAATGCTTTGCATTACCTGTGCCCCGCAGCTTGAGACTCAGCCTAATGAAGGCAAAATTGGATGAATTAAGCTGACTTTAGTGGGAGGCAACAAACAGAAAAGTGGAAGCATGTGTGTCAAATGGGGTTTCTAGCTGATACATTAACGAGTAGATTAGAGCTGACCGGAATCTGCTGGTCAGAAAAATCAGGAAAGACCAGAGGGGAAACAAACATGGGCCGCCTGCTGAGTCCCTGCTGGACAGACACATTGTGGGGAGGTGGAGAAAAAGGTGTTAATGATGTAAAAAACGAAGGATATAAAAGTTAAATCTTCAGTATGTAACTTTTATAAAAACTATTTTTAACATATTTTTTGAAACTGTCTATGTCATGACAGTATGATATGAGCAGATAATCTGTGAAAGAAACAAAAAACAGCTCCTCTGCCTTTCTGTAATGCTAAGCAGAATCAACCAATCAGAGCAAGGAGGAGGGTCTTAGTGCTGTCAATCACTGCAAAGTGCACGCTGCTCACAATCCCCTCCCTCTCTGTTAAGATACAGTTTCTATTGTGAATGCTAAGGCTAGTTAGCCTGGCCCCCGATGACGGCAGATAAACGGTTCTCCTGCAACAGAGTTGTTTCTCCACTATAAGCACATTTAGCAGCGCTTTCACAAGGATGACTGACAGCACCAAGATGCACTTCTTCACTGCAATAGCATAGGGAAGAGATCAATCTTTTCACAGATTATCTGTCTCATGCAATACTGTCACAACACGGTGATAGCTTTAACAAATATATAAAACATTTTTTATAAAAGTGACATACTACAGCTTTAAGAGTTTTTCTTTTGCAAAAATTATGTTGGGTCAAACAATATTAGATACTATATATGCCATACCAGATGGTTTCTGCATAGAGCTGGACAATGCAAAGGGTGAAAGAAAGTTCATCCAAGCAAAGAGAAGGGAATGTTTCCAAAAGTGTCAAGAAGGGACAAAGTGCTCTGAAGAAAGACTCACACAGGCCGAGAGCTCACATGGTCAGGGGGAAAAGGGTTGCATGAAGGACAAACACGGTCATTATTTACAACACAAAGATGGAGCGAAAATGGAAAATCTGTGTAACAAAAGTTAGCACACCCTAAAGTCCAGTCGCCTGTTCTGCTATAATAACGTCTACTCAGTTTCAGTATAAAATCCTCCCAAGCAATTCATATTTATGCAAACTTTTCCTGACTATCCTCCTGTGAATGTCCTGAACCGCCTTTTTTTTTTAAACAAAACAGATCTCGTAGAGGGATGTGCTGTTATCAGGTTCTCCAGGCTAACCTCAAGTACATTCATGGTTCTCCTTTAGGAAAACAAAACATTGAACTTTAAAAATCAGTTTATGAGTTGTGTCAATTCAAAATATTTAACCAGTGTTAAACAGCTTCATACAAACACACCTACTAACCCCAGAATTGCCTCAAACAACAGCAGAAAATACAGGTTGGCCCCATATTACTGATGGATCACATCCCTGCTCTCCTATTGGTTGGCCCTTAATAAAAGCAGCTTTCTTTATACGGCTCATCTGTTGGAAAGGCTACCTGTGGGATGAGGTATGGATCCAGGCGCCTGATTGGTCCATAGATAACGCCATCTGGCCAATCTTCAGTCAGCGAAGATGAGGCCAAGAGCCCGACAGGGCCAGAGAACCGTTCCAGTGGTGGAGTGGTGGGCAGATGGGAGTCAGCAGAGTTCATCTTCCTGCTGTAGTCCAGGTGGAGGTCCTGGCAAACTGCTTCATGACACCCTGAGCACACAGACACAACAGTTTGTCTATTTATGTTTAAAAACATCTTGTTCAGTAGTTTCACAATATTTTCTCAACAATTAAGTTCAAACTTTCCTGGAAATCTAACAGAAACACTTAAAATTATCTTAGAGCCCAGCTGGATTCCCAAGGGCCCAAACATTCTCTGAGCTGCTCCTGAGACGATGAAAGACGCCTGGAAAGAACCGCAAAGCATGAAACAAAATGTCTGCAATCAATTTCTTGTCTGTTTTGAAATCATCAACAGGTGTAACTAAACCAGAAATGCATCACTGGGGAAAAATGAAGCTCGAAAATCATCTCAGCTGTTGAAAGATAAAAACCACTGCTCTCAGTGGGAGTGCGCTCTGTGGCCTCAGAAACCCAATTACTGAGCTGTACGGGAGCATGATGGGCAGCCGGGGAGTTAATTTGTTTACATTTGAATTTGCAATGTGATTCTTGCTTGAGAGGTGTTTCTATGTTCAAAGAAGTACAACTTTTGTCTGGAAGGGTTTGATTCACTGATTAACCAGGAAAAACAAGCTGCCACTGCTTAAGAAAAAAATATACTACCTTCCTCATGGAGGTTTTACATTTTACAAGTTAGACGTGTTGAAAAGGAATAAATATTTTAGGCTTCAGATGGGATTTTGAAGAACATTTGTTTCTGAAATTTAAAAACCATTAACTTAATTTTTAACACAAAAAACTAGTTTTTACGATAAAATTTCTGAGATTAAACTAAATTTGAGTTTTTCAGCTAAAATTTACTTCTTTTATCCTAACTACAATACGCTGTGATAGATTTGGGTAAGTAGTAAGTAAACTGCACTTATATTTACAGCGTTATTTGTCAATATTTTAAAAATCAACCCTTTTTTTCATAGTTATTCACTACTTTTTCCTGCTGTTCTACATAGAAATCCCATTATAATATATTCATTTTCATCGGTTTGAATAATGTTGTACAACACTTTTATCATGACATTGAGTAAATCCATGTTTGTTGATTGTGTTTGAGGATTTTAGTCAGAGATAAACTTCAAACACTCACCAAATGTCAAAGGTGCGTAGGCTACTTGGTTATATTTTTATTTTCTTGAACTGTCTGTGTTGGTGCTGCCATTTCCTGTCCCCAACACCTGCGTGTAGTTTGTTAATCACCACAAATGCTTCGTACCTTGTCTCTTTGTCTCTAAATGGGTCCATTCTCTACTTGTATGTCACTGAATGACCTAGCTAGAAGTGCTCAATAGCAACATGGGACGTGTTTGGAAAAACACAAGGGTTCTGGTGTTAACATGTCCAGCAGGAAACGTCTTCATCCGCTTTTTCTTTTTCTTCTTCTTCTGCATAAGCGCCACCTACTGGAACGGAGAGTTGATCGGGATGCAAAATATATGCCAAAAAGATTTGATTTTTAAAAAAATAACACAAAACAAACAACTGTTTTGTTCTGCTGGTGATTGGCTCGTACGCAACACAGTAACTTATTTCCTACTTCAAGTACGCAAATGATAGTCTCCATGGCAACCCATCTAAATCCAACTGGACGTGCTTCCGTCTAGGCATCAAAGTGCTGGGCCTGCTGTGATATTATAATACTGTGATAAGCCTGAAGCAGGAGAGGCCATTGGCCAGTGCAACAAATGGCTACCATAGAGACTGCAACCATATTGGTAAATCAGGGGTCCACAGCCCCTGTACAGGAGAGCTCCATCCTGCAACTTCTGGATGAATTCTTTCTCCAACTATGACGGCGTATTTTGGCCATTGTGGATAGTAAAAAAAGGAAATTTCCACCATAAACTCAGAAATTCTGAGATTAATCTCAGAAATTTTCCAGAAAAAAAAAAGAAATTTCTGCTAGAAAAAAAATATTTTAATCTCAAAAATGTTCTAGAAAAACCCAGGAATTTCCAAAAGTCAAAAAATATTGATTTTTAATTGTCAGAAATGTTCATTTTTTTTTTTAAGAAAAAAAAAATTTAGGCCGAAATTTACTCTTTTTTTTTTCTGCCTACAATGGCCCTACTCTGCCATCGTAGTCAGCACACCTGACTTCCTTCATCAACGGTCTTTCAGTTCTGCAGGATCCTGCTAACGAAACGTTTAGGTGATTCAGGTGTGTTGGATAAGGGAAGCATCTAGAAGTTACAGGACGGTAGCTTTTGAAGGCTGGACTTGGGCACCCTGGCTCTGTAGCAACATCTCCTGTTGCTTGGCTCTCAACAGATATTGCATATTACATCATAAGCACACAATAAGTTTTCAGTAGAGAAAATCAGTTACAAAATATACTTTCTTTAAAAACAACATTTTTATTTAGAGTTGCTTAGAGTTAAATTGAGTTATCAATTTAACTCAATTTGGGTTCAACTGGAAATTGAAGCTATGTGAATTCTGTAATCTGAAAATGGACTATGTACCAAAATTAAGCATTGTGGGTAAAAGCTGAGCTCCTCCTTTTGTGCTCTCCATCTGCAGCAGGCCATGTGTTTGGTGACGCTTTGAGAAGTGGGTCAGAGCAGCTGAGAAGCCCACCATCAGTCATCTCTGGCCGCTTCAAGTCACATCACACAAACAATGGCACTTCATGGGTAGGGGCTCGTCTTCCTTCCTGCCTGGCTTCCTGTCGATCGTTCTGCCTGAACTGGCAAACTCAATGTGCCCCCCCTCCACTACGCTTTAGCCCCCCGTACCCACTCCCGCTCTCCACGCCGCCTCCTCCTCCTCACTCCAGCAGTCCTCTCTTCTTCCTGAATCAAACAGCAAAGCTGGTAAAATGTGAGCAAAACAGGGGGCCTGACAAGGTGACAGGAAAGAAATGATAAATGACAACAACACCACATCTGTGGAAGTGGAACATACCAGGTCAACAAGCAGGGGCTATTGTCATGTAGATGGAGGAGGCGGTGGGGTGTGAAGGTATTGAATGTTCTGTTTGGCACCTACAGTGCAGTAAACTTTTTACCCCGCCTTCACCTCCAGCTCCTTTCTGATGCAAGAGCCTTGGAAACAAATTGATAGTATCTATGCATTTCCTCTGCACAGACCGCAACCTTTACCAATGGCTGACCGTTGAACATCCAAGGCCACAATGATCACAAAAGAAAGTAGGAAATCCTCCTGTGATGGATCACTTTGATGAAAACATAGTACGAAGGGAATCTAATTACTTGCACCTAGAGTTTACATCACCTCATCACGAGAATGAGTATTATTTTATGGTTTATTTCAACTCTCCTTGCATTGGGACTGATGAAAGAATTTTTCAATGTAGGACAAGTAGACAAGACTAATGTTTTTGAAGAGAGGTTTTATTATTTGGAGGTTTTGGCTACAATGACCAGAAGTTTATTTGGAAGATCAGGTGAGGATTTCACATCTAAATACACTGTACCAACTGTTCAGCAAAGCGTTGGTTGCATAATGCTGAGGGTCTACTTTGGTTCAAGTATTGTTGCATTGCTTAGAATGGATCTAAATATGAAGAATTCCATGAATGAATTCCAGCAGTCCTGCCAAGAAAAGTTTCTCAAAATATCCACCAGAATGAGAATATTCACCCAATTTTTTTAAATCACAGAAGTTGCATGTTGTATAATCAGTCAACCCTGAAAGTGAAGGATTATATTGTTAATATGACATTGAAGCTAAAAAAAAGAACGTAAAGTTATTATTAATGTCCTTTAGCATCTATTTTGTTGAGAATAGCAGTAAAACAGATTTCTGCAGCATGCCTTAACCCATAATCTCTGCAATACTGTAGACTCTAAGTGTTAGAAGGGTGTACTTCCTGAGGATGCGAGATAGCTTATCTGCAGCAGACCTATTTAGGTCACTTGTAGTTCAACATGTCTGCTGCACAAGCAGAGGAAGAGTAGCAACCTTTAGCATTATGGGCAACAGTTTCATCGGCTCAGGATGATTTATTACCATTTTAATGGCATCCTGACAACTTTGCTATCAGCAACTTGAATCACAGATTACGGGCGGAAAGTCGTAAAGTCCAAAGAATACCTGAGAGCGCTAGGACTGACATCACCGTGCTGGTCTGCGGACAAGAGGGAAACCTACTGACAGCCAGGGTAGACAGATGGTAATTTGTGTCTGTTTGTTTTCTGAGTTCCTCTCAGGCTATAATTTTAGATAAAGTTCATTCATACCATTTACATAACAAATTGTTCTCTTTGCCTGTCCTTCCAGTGTCACGGTGGATTTTTTTTTATGTGCTCCCTCTTATAAATCAGATTTGTAATGTTTTCTCAGTACACTGATGGTGTTTGATTAATACATACACACATTTGTTGTACAACACAATATCATTCTCCTTTGATCAGTCATACCAAGTCAGAACTGCTCCACAGACAGCGATATCCCTAAATCACTATTATCACGCAGCTGATAGGAAGGAATGCAAAACTCAGAGTCCTAGTCCCCTGGCATCAGATGCAACAAAATATCACTCCGACCTTTAAGTGATCATATAAAAGAAAGGCGTGCTGAGAAAGGGGGATTTTTTTCCCTTTACTGCAGGCGTTCAGTCTGCCTCCAGTGAGAGCTCTTTTAAAGTTGCACCTGTGCAGCATGGCGGGGGTAAGTCTGCAGGCTTGATGTGGGCCCACTGTGTTCTCAACCCCCTCAGGAAAGGAAAGTGTTAGAAGGGGCTTTGTTGTCTGCTCTTGCTACACCTCATATATATTTTAAAGGGACAAACACAAAAGAGCAGTCTGGCCCTCCGTTGTTTATAAAAATCAACGAGGTGGAAGGCTTCTGATATTCCCCTAAAGGTAAATTAAGTGTTTCATTGTGCCCAAACTTCAACATGAATATGAGCCTTCACCATTGCTTTATCCCTCACAGTAGATGAGGCACTTCCAGACAGCTGGTTTCACTTTTTCGCTCCTCTCATGCTTTTCTTTTGTTCAAAGTCTACCTCTTTGATTCATCCTGAGTAATGGTGTGAGATCCCCTTTATTCTTCTCACACGTCTTCTACAGCTGGTCGTCCTCTGAGCAGGACACTGGAACAGACACGGATCAGGAACTGTAGGCCTGTTTACACGATCGCCACAGGTTTCCATTTGCTTTTTAAGTAACCAGCTGTCTGTACATGTTGTCTACCTGCTGCTGTTTTCATATACTGCACATATATAACTTTACAGTATGTTTCGGAAATGTTTGACAGCATTTTCTGCTCATATTCTGTAATTAAACACATTTATTGTAGAAATCAGTGATGTTACCACTTTCATACTATTATAACAAGGACAAAGGTCGTTAAATATGTTTTGAATTTGAATTTGTTTTATTATATTTGAGTAAATTAAACACAGAAGTGTCTTAGCTCCCCTCTTAAAAAAGATTCACAGCACATATGTTCATATATAATGCATGTTTCTCTTTTTGAGTTAATTCACTATTTCATTCCGTGTCAGAGTTAGGATTCACAGCCTCGGCTCTGAATATTGTCTTTAGGGAAGGAAGGGTTTAAACATACAAAAATTGTTAAACATTTTTCCAAATCTGTTTTGTGTTTCTGCTTTACATGAGAAAAAATTCTGCTACTGGTGTTTAAATTAAAAATAAACGATTAAAAAAGAATGGTTTGAGAACTGCTGGAGATATATCATTACAATTCATGACACTCCTGTCTACTCTACTCTTGTTACGTTTAGTTCAATTCATGAAAAGTGCATTCACAACCGAAATAAATCTGCACAAAAAGAAAGTCCAGCTGGTTCCTATTAAATATAGTTCTTATTCTCATGTTCTTATGTTTCCTTACCTGAACTGGACTGAACAGCTTTACTAATTTGAATTTCACCAGATTTTTCAGGTATTAACTTCAATACTGTTGCAGATATGGGATTCTGTCCAGGAGTCTCCACTGTCACTTGACTGCCTCCAGAATAAACATTTTTATTTATCGTTTAAAGAAAAAAACAGACCAATTTAAACTGGATTGCTGCTTGATGCAAACATTGTATGACTTAAGATACGTTGATACATTGAGTGTTAGGTTCCGTGTTTCTGTGTGTTTATTTTTGAGTTTCTCTGTGTTCAGTCCTGTGTTCCTGTGAGTCTCTGTCCTGTCCTCCCCGTTGATTGCTCCCCAGGTGTGTCTCGTTCCCTTAATTACCCCGTGTGTATTTAAACCCACCTGTTGTCTGTGTTCCTCGTCGGGTCCTTGTCTATTGTCGTTTGTCTACACTCTCCAGTCGTACTGCTAAGTCCTGGTTTGTGTTCGCTCGCACGAAGTCCGGTTTATTCAGTTGCTACCGGTATTTGGCTGTGTGCCTGTCTCTCTGCCGTGCTGCCTGTTTTTGGACTGTGAGCTTTATTATTAAAATCTTCATCATCATCACTTTACCTGGGTCTCAGCGTTCATCTTCACCGTCACCACACCGCTTCATGACATTGAGAGAGTTTGCTACCCTCAAAAATTGATTTTTCCGACAAGATATCATGGATGATTATATATGACTCTGTATTTTATATCAAATAGC